TCTCTCTCTCTCTCTCTTTCTCTCTCTCTATCTATCTCTATCTCTATCTCTATCTCTCTCTTTCTCTCCCTTTCTCTCCCGATTTCTGCGTCTCTCTTTCGTTCTTGTCCCCTGATCGCGCCTTTCATTCGAAAATAGAACGTCAGCGCGCGTGCCGCGCACATTTTTCCTCGTGAAAACAGCGAATTCCCACTCGATGACACGCGCGCGCCGCACGGATCGAGCGAGAGGAGCGCTCGCCTGGTCGCCTGTTCTAGCCCCTAACTCGCTTTCCTTCAGAAATTCTGCCCGAAATTGATCGACATTAACCGACCAGCTCCATTAACAAACCAGCTAAAATTGTCGTTTAAAATTGTCGTTTCGTCGAAACAGAGGGTCTCTTCGTTAACTGTCGTTGGCTGTTGCCAACGTTGCACAGACGATCCGAGGCTTGTCTGTCTGTCTGTCTGTCTGGGCAAGAGCTCGTTACGTTTCGAAGAGAAACGTTGTTCCGCGTCCTTGGGTGGCGACTCGGGAGGAAATTTCTTTTAGCGAAGTTTCAGAGGAGCGGAGGAGCCACGTGTAATATTTTTATCGGGCGGGCGCGTGTGTAATACACGCAGGAGGATTACACTTTGCTTTGTGTTGCGGTCAGAGAGACGAAGCGAGAGACGACGAGAGGTTCGACGATATTCTAGCGGGAGGCTCTCTCGTAAAAATAGTGTCCTCGCCGTTTCCTCCCTTCGGCTGCCGTGACTATAATTAGCGGGATTCGCCGTTTTCTCTCCGCGTAAACAAATATTCGCCGGCCCTGCTTCGGCCGGTCGTGGCAGAAGGCCTCTTTTATCTGCTGCTGCTCGCGCGATTTCCTGTACGATAAAGTGCATTGAATAAACATCGCGAGGACGCGAGAAACGCAGTGACACGCCACGGTGTCGTGCATAGTCGTTGGGCAAAGTCGACGGGGTCTATCGATGCTACATGAGTTTTGCATTAGGAGAGAGAGAGCGTGTGGACAGTGGAAACAAGACCACTTCTCTGCCACACGATTCTCGAATCACCTCGCGCGTCCCTTTTCCCTCCATCGTGCTTCTATGTCGGCGTATTTCTAGGAGAAGACGTCGTTCCCTCCGCGGCGGAGAGGTAGGCCGAACTATTCATGTCCGACGACCGTTCATAAAAATAGGATTTTAGAGATTTCTCTGACCGACGATGCCGCGCTTAATGGAGCCTAGCCTCTGCTTGGTAAATAAATCTCCCGGACATTGTCTCGTTCCCGCGCACGCTCCTCTCCCGTCCCTTTCAAGGGCTCCCTTTCCCAACTGTTTCACATTAGAAATACATACTTTCGAACGATCTAGCCTATTACTCTCCGCGTGCCCGCGATCAAACCAATTTACACGTGAGATTCTATTTAACATCACGAGAAGTTTATAATCGTTTTGCATCGAAATACTTTTGTTTAGTCATCGAGCGACACGAAACCATCGGATTTTGTATTATTTCCCGTGTGAGGCGATGAAACCAGTATCACGTAAGATTATAAGATGACAAGTTGGAAATTAGTAATCTGTGACTTGTAACTGTATCAATGTTACTGGCTGATAAATTATTATTATTATTATTATTATTATTATTATTATTATACGAGGGTTTGTATGGCAGTTGGATGGCACGACATTGTTCCGTCGTCTCGATCGATATCGTTCAATCGTTATCATTTCCCCTTTTATCAGCAGCATCGTGTATATCGATTACCGTTTATCTGCGAGTACGCGCAGCCGGAGTAATTACTTCTCGCGTGGCGATTACTCGCGTTCACCGCCAAGGGGCACGACATTTTTCCCCCCGCGTAAAAGGCCGGACGGGGAACGAGGGGGCTGGGGGGAGGGTGAAGCTCGCCGATCCTCGACATAAATAATAAATCCACGCGATGCGAGGTAGACTCGCGACGAAGGAGCACTCGAAATCTCGAGTGCGCGTTCCGCGGGGCAACATTTTCATTTTCATGCCGCCGTATGTGCGTGAGTGCACACGAGAAAGAGCACGGGTAGGTAGGAGAGGAACGCGTTTCGCGTGTGTTGGACATCGTTTCATTACATTGTATTGTCGGGGTGCACGCGCGAGCACCGCGCAGAGACAAAAGGGGGAACGGAACGAGGGTAGAACCGTAGAAACAAAACGAACGATCCGAGAGATTCGTTCGTGAACTATTTCCTCGGGGCTCGTATTTTAGGAAGTTGTAGGAAGCATGAGTCCGTAGACCAGAATAAGACAGTGTGCATGCTGCACGGGTACTGTTCCTCTTTATCTCCCGTGGCCCATCTATTCTTATTATATAATTGGACCGGTTTCGTACCCGGTGTCGATGTTAATTGACAATTATGCTTCGATGATTTTTCTTTTCCCCCAGACGTTCGTATTTCCTTCTTTTCTTTTTTTCTTTCTCTCAGGAGAGGCGGATGATTTTTAGAAGTAAAAGTTCGTTTACACATCTTTCTTCCTATTCGAATAAAAATTCAACGTCGTAGCGGATTAAGCAGAAGGCATGCTAGCTTTTATTAACCAGTTCTTTGCATCGGTCGAATTCACGAGGTATCTGTTTTGTTCCACCGTACGTGGTCAATTGTGATTAACATTCTCTTAAATATGTAGCTACTTATTCTTTGTCAGTGTTAAAAAATGTCAAAAAATGTTCTACGGATAGGAACAAGAACAAAATGTCACATATATATAATATATGTTATTTAATAATAATGATACATAATGATAATGTAATAATAATAATAGCAGTAGTAGTATATATAAATGTTATATAAAATGTTACACGTAATTTAAACGAATCAAATATTACACGGAATGTAAAGGAATATCAGTTTTGTAATGAACACTTTACAGCACGATGTTGTCTCGAAGCTGATCGAGTCATATCCGCTTCTGCCAGCGATATTTACTGTTTTTGTATTTGTCTGTGTCCTCTTGGGACGTGTTTCATTCGGCGAACGACTTTGTATCAGTCACGAAACGTCGCTTCTGTGAATAGCGCGTAGTTGCTATGTACATAATTCAGGACAGAACGAGTCTACCCGCGAACGAAGAATATAACTTTTTCATAAAGCCTCTCTTTTTTCGGGTGGCCATATTTATACAACACATTTCGTTCCTTATTCCCATTCATGTAGAACACACTTGGACGAGGTTTGATCCACTTAAATCGCTGACACTCTGTGTGTGCTGAGCTTGTTCGAAGAATCACGCGGCAGCGATGATTCTTGGATTAGTGGTTTAATCGTAAGTGACGAGCCCGTGGCGTTATTTGTTACAGAGATTCACGTCGTGTGGCACGTGGAGGTTTCCTGCTTCCGAGGAAAAATCCGTCGTGTCGGAAGTGGCGAGTGCGGTGAAGAAAGGGAACAACGACGAGAGAGAGAATGCTGCCGAGGCGAGCAGCGGAGGCGCGCGTACTCACGAGTGCTCGCCCGACGGCGATGATCGGCGACAACGATCGGCGGTGTTCGCGATGATGCCGGAGCGCGGTCGCGTAGCAGCGATATCGTGGTCGGTGGAGTTCGCGCGACGCGGATACCTCGGTAGAAACGTTCGACACGCGACGGGATAAATGCGAGAGCGAGGTCTCGTTGGTGGAGCAGTTGTCGCGGCGACGAAGAAGAAGAAGAAGAAAAAGAGACACCTGGAACCGGGTCGATACAAACGGAGCCCGTGTTGGCTGTGGACAAGCGTGAGAGCAGGTGTTTTACAAAGGGGGACCGATAATAGAAGTTTGGATGTAGATCAGAAGGAGGAGGAGGAGGAGGAGGAGGAGGAAGAAGAAGAAGAAGAAGAAGAAGAAGAAGAAGAAGAAGAAGAAGAAGAGGAAGAGGCGGAAGAGAGGTCGAGGAATTTCATCGATCACGGATCACGAGAAAAGGGAAGAGGAGGAAACGAGGGGAGGAAGGAGAAAATCGATTGGAATCCAGAGGATCCGTCATAGACGTAGAGACGATCGGCCTACAACCAGCTGGACTGGACGGCCTCGCGAGTTTTTGTTGTAAGGCCGGGGGTTGTGAGGGTCACCACGGGGGCGGGGGTGGGTTTGCCCCTGCTTCTTCTGGTCGTCGCTGTTCTTGGCAATCAAACGTGCACGACGACGGCTGCGCCGGTGGTATCCGATCCGCCGTACGTGTCCCTCGACGCTACGCCTCCTCGTCTTCTGCCTCGATCAACGGACCGTTTGTCGTCGTCGTCGTCGTCATCGTCATCGTCATCGTCACTGTCATCGTCGTTACCGTTCCCGTCCTCCTTTCAAAGAGCCATTTACAGGAGTCGATCTTCCAACGGCAGTCCCACGAAGGGACGAGAACTGGATTATCACGAAGTGTCGTTGCCATCGAGACGAGCTGAACGAGAGGATCTGAACAACGGTCCGAACGACTGGAGTCGGTTGCTCTCCGCAACCCGGGAACAAACGACAATCGATACCATCGAAGGAAACAAGGATCCTTCTTCCCCTGTAGCGGCAGGCGGAAGGAGAGGTGAAGAAGGAGGCGGCAGAGGAGGAAGAGGAGGAGGTCTGGCTCACGAGAGGACCAAGTCGAGACGGCGGCAGGTCGCCGCTGCAAGCCTGCTCGATGATCGAGGATCAACCTCTTTAGGCCTCGTCGAACCGTACTGGCTGCATACGAGATTCTCTCGTCCCCGTTCGTACACCGAATCTTCTTCGACCCTCGTCGACGGAGTCGAACCAGAAGCTCGTCGGGGTGGTATTGCCGCGTTCACCGCGACCGGAACAACTGCTAGCGACTCGACGTCGTCGTCGTTGGGTCTCGAGGACATTGTCGGTGAGCAGGGTGTCCTATCGAACGAGAATTACTCGCCAACCA